GTGGTGGTGATAATGATGATGATGGTAATGAATATGATTATTATAATGGTGATGATGTTGTCCCCAGATCAGGTGCTCATATTGTCTATATTACCTTTGGGATACTCTGTAAGGCTCTGTCTTTCTCCTCCAGCAACAACTCTACATTTCCCATGGAGCTGCAAAATACAACACCCATTGACGGAGGAATGAGATTAATCTTGGGGGGGGGGGGGGGGGGGGGGGGGGGATTTGCAAAAAAAGTGTTCAACAAAAGTCAAGTTAAAAGATAAGTAGCACATACCTTGCTTGTTCTACTGTCTTGCGTCCCCATCTATAGCACCAAGCAGCAAGATGATACCAAGCTTTACCAAGATCTGGGGTCTGCATGGTGCTTAAATGCAGTATCTGACCACATGCTGACTCTACATCATCAACACCACTTCCAACACTACTCACACCACTACTGCTCCACACCATCTCATCATCCAGTGTCAAATCCTTTGCTTCTTTTTCATCCTGTGAGCCAATCAGAGTGCTGTGACCGTACCCTAGAAACTCCTCTTCTGTATCACAGAGAGAGCTCATTTTCGCAACCAATGGAGTGACATTACTGTTGGTTTTAGTGGCTGACGTCAGCAGTTTCCTGTCATTCATTAACCATTTGGATAGAGTAACTAAGGACCTAGAGTTCAATTCTCTAACAACACCATCTGATTCATTGATTTTAGTGAATTCCAGAACACTACCAGAGAGTATACCAACAGCATCCTGTGTGTGACCGAGGGCATATGCTAGTTTAGCACTTTCTCTCTGTGCTTTCAGCAAGTCCAGTCTTGAAGAGCCCTTGACGTTAGACACGCTTATTAAGCCTCTTACTAGAGAACCAAGGATATTATTCTGTCCATTAGGCTCTTCCTCAAGCTGCACAGCTATCCCAAGCTTTACTAGCTGGTTAAGAAGTAACCTCTGTGCTAGGGAGTAATTCTCATGTTTTCTGGCTAGCATGGCTGTTTCTAGTCGGAGGGTTAAGAGCTCACTATTTAAAGATGCATTTGGTTTACCAAGAGATGTGTTGAGGTGTGAAATATGAGATGTGAAGCGCAGGGCTTGATTCAGTACAGCACAGTTGTGTCTTGTTGGGTCTGCTGTGAATGATCCATCTCCTTGTAGAATAGACTGCACAAGATCCCCCTGGAATAATTGACTTAATATTAATGACTAATAGAAAATTAATGTGTCTATTTATTGTCAATGGAGTATTAATCTATATGACATGTCAACTGTGGGAATCAAGGGTGGTGTAGTTCACTTGCCTCTCACCTCTGGGATCTCGGGTTTAAATTTTGGACTCAGCATTTGAGTAGAGTTTGTAAGGTTTTCCCTATATTTCTCTATCTGCAAACCCATCCAGCTTAATTCTGATTGAATCTAGAAGTAATCCAGGCCCTGACTTAGATCAGCCCCAAGGTAGTTTCAGGGTTTGATCTGTGAGCTAGCCGTGGCCTGACTTAGATCAGTCCAGAGGTTGTTTCAGGGTTCTATCTGTGAGTTAGCCATGCCTTGACTTAGATCAGCCCAGAGGTTGTTTCAGGGTTCTATCTGTGAGTTAGCCATGCCTTGACTTAGATCAGCCCAGAGGTTGTTTCAGGGTTCTATNCATGCACTGTCATCTTCCCTGGTGTAGATTTCTTTTAACTCTTCAGTATCCAAATTGGTTTTCAAAACCTGCTAAGGAATCTTGACTTTCTTGGCTGTAATCTACTGAGTTCCACGTCCTCTCCAGATGCATTTCTTATAACCTCACTGTCTTATGCACTCCATTTCATCTATGAACGCTGTTCTGAAACTGATGACCTTGTTTCAATTGCTGATTTTGGAAACCAGTTCTGATATGAAGCAGGCTCTGCAGAACAATAGTACTTCGTGGTAATTCTGGCTGGCGTTTTTAATAATATATGCTAATCTGCTTCTTATTTCTTCCACTAAAAGCTTTTCTGATTTCTTCGTCTGCTCTCTCGCTGATTTTTTTTAGGCTATTATTTATTGACTTGTTTTTCGCACTGATATAGGTGAGTCTAGGACAAATGCTATAGGTATCTGTTCCACTCTGTAGCTAGTGACACAGGCTGCTCCTTAGGTTTTACTTTGATGGACTTTTCCTCGTTGTTGTGTGACTCAGTTGCTCCTTTGTTTTGCGTTTAACATAGCAGTTTTGGGTGTTTACATGTCCAAGAGCATATATGATTCCTATCCTTAAATGGTTCTCTACACTTGCATCTACCTTGCTATGCAGCTTAAAAGTAAACAAATAGTCGAGACAATGCATGAGAAGTGACTAATGTTGGGTTGATGTTRAAATAAATCGAACTTATTCTGAGATGGAAATTTAGGAAAAAATCAAATATATATTTTCTTTGTGCAGTCAATRGTAAAAGAGTATCTCAGTTGACAGATTATGTTCCAATAGCTGTGCATGCACTTCTTGTGTCTTGGGATCTTCTCCTGCCACTAACGTCGAGGATGTCTTAATTTTTCAAACACGTGTGAGGGTAAATCTTCTTTGGATTCCAATTTCTTCCCAAACTCGACGCAGGTCTTCGCCCTACTGCAGAAGAATCGAACTTGTTTCCGTTACTACCTAAAAACACAGGTCTGGTGTTGTTTGTCTACTTTTTGTCTGTCAAAGGTAAAGGATGTGCTTCTTTAAGAGCATGTGTACATCTCAGAAGCTAGGCTTGGCCAATAAGCTAGATGATCCTTTATCAAAAATCAGAATTTAAGGCATGAAGATAGTTCTAAGTAAAAACAGTCTTGAATCCTGAAAAATAATATCTGAGAATTGAAAATCTTGATACAACAGGTATCCCAAGTATCTCTAACCCTAACCCTCCCCCTCCCCTCTTCAAAACGGGGGTTTCGTAAATTTAACTAAAATGCCCAGAATATCTATTAGGCACTTCAAAAAGTGTAGACAGACTTTGTTGGATGTTTACTCAATGCATTATGCCAGCTAAAATTCGATTGCATGGTATTTTCTTTGGTTTTTTCATGAATTTCCATCTGAGGATAAGTTCGATTTGTTTTCAATATTATCCCAAAATTAGTCACTTATAATGCTTTGTCCCGACTATTTGTTCATTTTTAAGCTGTATTGCAAGTTATGGAACATTCTAAACAAATTTTGGAAGATTTATATGCTATCAATTTTTCCCCTAAAATGTTAAATAAAAAATCAAAGTGCGTTCGTTTTGCATAGAAAATCTCTTACGCTGATAGAGGACGCTTCTTTTTATCTGTTCAATAATTATTGTCGTTTAATTGATATATTTTATAGTCGAAAAGAGCCAAAGAACAAGTTTGAACATGTTCAAAAAGTTTACCATCAGCTGTATTTTGCGTAAAATTACGAAATTCATGCAAATTCTTTTGCAAAGCTTCTTCTTAACCTTCAAAAACCATGTCTAGCAAGTTTCATAATTTTGCGTCATGTTTTAGGCAACTTTTTTTCAAGTTTCAAAAATTGACATAACTTTGAAACCTAGGGTTTCAAGTAGTTATAGAACTTACACTAGACTTGAAAGCCTCGTAAATTTAACGTGACACCAAAACAAGGTGGAGATCCTAGGTTGAACCAGCATAAGGAGCACTTCAGGGATCTCCAAGATTTTTGGAGAAAAATCTAAAAAAAGTATTTTTTTCGATTTTTGCGGCAAAAGTTTACCTATTTGAACATTGCAG